CTCTGCAAGCCCCTCAGCATGGTTTGGAGACACAAGCATGCAGCCTCCACGCCTCCTCCCCAGCCTCTGCTTCTTTTTTGTCCTCCAGTCTCATACCAGTGCATCCCATTGGAGGACTGAGTTCATAACCAGAACTCTAGCTATAAAGGAATCTGAGAATATAGTTTTCAGCTTTCTTGTCTCTGCCACACAGGAAAGCGCGCAGAAGCAAGTGGGAGTGCCAGTTGCCACATCCAGAGTAGGACTTAATTCCTTTGTTTTATGGATGAGGAAACTGAGGCTAGGGAGGAGTATGTTATTTGCTGAAAGTCACATAACTGGTCCGTGGCTAACAGTTCCATCTTTTGCCCCCTTACTGTCCATGCACTTTGTCAATAGGACTGCTTGTGAACTGGAGTTTCACTGACTCAAACTCCTTAGAAGGGTAGAAGGCACTCGATACACCATGAACTTTTAATTTTCTCTAAAAACAAAACCCTCCAAGGTCTCCTTTGGGATGTATTATAATCATTTAGTAACTGTTATGGGCTGAACTGTGTCCCCTTCCCCATACCCTAACTCATATGTCGAAGTCCTAACTCCCAGTACCTTAGAAGGTAACCAATTTGGAGGTAACATCCTTAAAGAGGTAATTAAGTTAAAATGAGGTCCTTAGGGTGGCCCCTCATCCAATATGACTGGTGTCCTTTTAAGAGGAGGAAATTTGGACACATCGAGGCACAGAAGGAAGATGATGTGGAAACACAGGGAGAAGGCAGCCATCTATAAGCCAAGGACGGAGGAGGCCTCAGAAGAAAGCAACCTTGCTGACACACACCTTGATCTCAGATGTCCAGGCTCCAGAATTGTGAGAAAATGAATTTCTGTTGTGTAAGCCACCCAGTATCTGTTGTTTTGTTATGGCAGCCCTAGCCAACTAATACAGCAACTGAGGGCTGGTAAGAAGAAAGAAACACGCCTTGGTAGGAGGCTAATTTGTCCTCTGGCTGGTTGCCTCCCTCGGTGTTTCTGCATAGACCTTCCTCCAGTTGCCTTACCTGCTGATGCCACTGCCAAGCCAGCCTCTCTGGCATCTTCCCCCCTGAGGGGTCTCTCTTAGAAAAATGCTTCCTGCTTCTTGCACATGATGGAAATCTCTGGAGTGGTGAATTGGCTGCAGATTCAGATGGTGACAGAAAAGCAATGGGAGTACCTGAGAGCTTTCGCCTCATTGGGCACTCAGTGAGGACTGTCACTTACTTTTCTAACCTGCCCACTTGGGGAACTGTGGCAATCTTGCCCTAAATGTATCTCCCACTCCCCATTTTCATGGGAGGTAAATATGGCATGCGAAATGCATTTTTAATGACTGAGATCTGCATTTAAGCATATTTTCCATCTTTGCTGGGTCATTAAGTCTTTAAATTCTTCAATATTTTAATGATTTTTATAGCCTAGGGATGTATAGGTTTGTTCAAGTTTTCATCCTCTCCTTGCTCCTTTGCCCATGAGCTGCTCCAGCAAGCGCTCACCGCAGGGTAATTTAACACACGGTACTGCTCTCAGGGGTCCTTTCCGGGCAGCCCACCTCCTGACCAGCTTGTTTACCCTCCAGTTTGGGAACAGAGTAGTGTTCCTTCAGTGGAGCCCCAGGGGAAGAGCTGGCCTGTATTTAGGAGCTGTGCTAGAACTACATGAAGCCTTGTTAGTTTTGACACAATGAGAAGGAGGCAGAAATCAAGACGTACGGGGAAGAGCAGATTCATATCCCTTCACTGAGTGGAATAGCAGGCAGAAGTGCTGACACTATTTAAATAGCTTGCTCTCACCCTCTCCCTCTCTCTCTCTCTCTCTCCCAATTTTAGTTTTGCAGAACACATGGCAATTTACAATATGGGTGGATAGAATATGGCAGAGAGAGCACCAGACTAGGAGCCAGGATACCCATCTTGCAAAGTCAGTTCAGCCACAAGCATTTTGGAGAATGCTAAGACAAAGGGACTGAGGAAGCCCTAGACTTCTGAAGCAAATAGAGGTCCTGACTTTCTCTGGGGTTCAGTTTCCTCCCTTGTAAGATGCATGCTTTTGTGTAGGAAGATCCAGAGGCTGGCATCTGGAGCCCCTGACATTGGTGAGTTCAAGTTCAGGGCTTTCGGCTGAGAGGCTGATCACCCAGAACAGCCTCAATAACCCAGTGAACTAGAGAAGCACCAGGCCCCACCCTGTTCTGCCTGGGAATGGCGTAAGAAAGAGTTTGGTAAAAGTAAGAACCAAGATGGACAGTGGGTACTCTAAGGGGATGCCTGGTAATCCACTCTGCCTGCCTCCGTGTTTCTTCAGTTCAGCAAGTCCTATTTAGCACCTGGTGAGGACAAGATAGAGTGCTCTGTATTTGAAAGGTAAGGACAGGTAAACTGTTCCTGACATTGCAGAACTCCCCATCCTGGTCTAATTGTGAGTGTTTGATCACAAATGAGATCTGAACATTATTTGTTTTGGGGTCAAATCCATTGGGAAAAATTATGGTGTATGAGAGCACCTTTTGGCTTTTAATTCCTTTAGATCACATTTCTTCAGGGCTAATTATTATTGCTGTTCACCAAATATTTCCTGTTTTCCTTCTACTGAGCACACAGTAGGGTCATATTTTCCTGAGCTACTGAAGTTGAGTGTCATCATGTGACTTGCTTTGCCAATGAATGTGAACATCATGATATGTTTTGCTTCCAGGCAAAAGCTTTAAGAACCATCGCATGGCCCCTGCATGGCTCTTTTCCTCTGCCATGTAATCAGCAATACTCCAGATGGCGAAAACCCGCTAGCCTAAGTCTCTGACTGAGGACACAGTGGAGTAGAGACCTTACTGATCCACAATGGACATGTAGTAGGAGCAAGAAACAATTTTTTTTGCTTTAAGTCATGGGAATTTAAAAAACTTTTATTATGGAAATTTTCAAACATACATGTATGAAAGCAGAGACAATAGTATATCCAAACTGCTATACCCATTACCCAGTTTCAACAATTATCAAGATATAAGCCTCTGTGATTTGGGGCTTGCATATTAATACAACACAACCTAGACTAATCTTGCTTAAAACAAGAGGACAGGATGTCATTTTATACAAATACTAAATGAGGGACAAGTAGGTAAAGAAAGTGGAAACAAAATTTATGAGATCTGTTTTTTATGGCATATTTTTCTTAAAGTTTTTGTTTGTTTGTTTTTTATGCTTTTAGGAATTCAGGAGAGCTCAACATCTGCATGGATTAGTTGAGGCAAAATTTGCTGGACACTGTGGAATCCTGGTTTTTTGGTCTCAGCCGAAATCCACCTTCAGCTCACCCTTCAGCTATTCGGGCAGATGAAGCTCATCCTCTCATTAGCTACACAACCATCTTCATGGGGAAAGAGACGGATGCCCTGTGGCTGTGTGCACAGACCTGCCTCAGTTTTCCCTGCCTCGGCTTCTTAGGTCTCACACTGCAGGCGATGTGGCTGCTGCTGACTTTAGGAGGCAGCTCCAGGAAGTTAGGCTTGTGGACCATCAAGTGCTGTTCTCTCCACAGAGTCACACAGGGACCTCAAGGTACACGTTTCCTTATCCTTTAAATACGCCTGCTACAGTGATAGTAGTGCAGCAGAATACCCCAATAAAAACTCAACTTGTGGCCTACCCCACTGAGAACGTGTGTTTTAATGTATATATGTAAATATATATATATATATATAAAATGTCTATATATGGGTGTGTTGCTGACCTTTCTATTCTATTCTACTGGCCTGACGGTTACTAAGCCAACACCACGCTGTTGTTTCTATGGTTTTTGTATTTGATTGAGCAAGTCTCCCCTCTTTACTCTTCTATTTTAAAGTTAATGATTTATTTATTGAGTTCCTCAAAAAGAGATCCACCTGGAATTTTGAGTGGGATTGCACTGAGTTTGTAGGTCAATCATTAATTTAACTAGGTTTTTATAGAGCCATCCAAGTTCAGCTGTTCTATATTAAGTCATCCAGTCCAAATGCATGGGATGTGCTCTACTTACTCAGATCATTTTCTGTTTCCTTAACAGAATTTTTTTGAAATTTGTAGAGAAGTTTTTGTGTATTCTTAGTTAATGCCTAGATGTTTTGTAATTCCTATTGCTGCAGTGAATGATATCTTTTTAGCAATATTTTCTGGTAGCTGTTGTGGGTGGGAGAGGTGCTGTTGATTTGTGCAGTTTGGTCTTATATCTGGCAATCTTGCTGAACCTTATTAGTTATAATTTGTTTGTCTTTGTTTTTTCTAAGTTGACCTTATGGTTTTCCATTGCTGTAGTTAGAAGCACCCCCCCCCCATTTAATTTCTGTGGTGGGGGTGGTGGGGGTTTGGGGGGGTGATTCACTAGAATGGACTGGAAGAGATTAGCTCCTCCCCCTACTACAGAGAGGGGTTTAGGCCTCTGGGATGGTGACATCTGGGTTCTCTATATTTTCAGAGACTTGCCAGTCAGGCCACCGACCACTGTGATGGAAGAAAAAGGGGCCTAAAGTTCTCTGGTAACAGGAAAAGAAAGGGGAGGGGATGTCACCAAAAAGAGCAAGGGAGGGATTTAGAGAGGAGAAAAAAGGCAGAGGAAAGGAAGAGACTCTTTTGAGGAGGACTTTGATGGGTGGGGATTAGTCTGGGACCTGGGAACTTGCTGGGACAGCAGATGGTAAAAGAGTCTCTGGTTTCAGAAGAGTAACTGGACCAGAGACCCACCATCCAGCAGTATCAAAGAAGCCCTGGTCACCTAATGTGGGGATGGGGGAGGAGCTCAAGCACCTGGGGCAGGCACAGGCACCTTTAACCCCGCCCACCACCAGCCTACACTGACTGACTGATAGAGGCCCCGCCCCATGGCTGCTCTTGTCACCACACACTGCTGTGACCCTAATGCTCAAAGCTGCCCGAGGGGCCCAGGAACTTCCCAGGGTCTGAACCTCCTGCATCTCCAGAGCTCCTGCAAGTCAGAGTTGGATCCACAAGGCACGGCCATGTTGCAGCTTCACACTAGGTCCTGACAAGTTTACTGAGGCAGGTCAGGAGTTGAGACTGTTTTAACCAGGCAACTGGTTTGCCTTGTTTAATGGGTAACTGTAGCTGAGTATTAAGGTTGCTTTGGTTTGGAACCGTCTCTGTACACCTGAGCGACGGTGAAATGGGGCTGCCCTCTGCTCCGCACGGTATTAACTGGGCTGCTGGAGGCAGGGTGGGAAGGCCTTGGTTTAACAGTTGTGACTGGTGACTAATTTCAATCAAGGGCTGAGGGACTGTAACATCAGGAAGTGAGGAGGGTGTTCCCTCCCTGCCCCTCTCTAAGGGGTTACCCTGGGTGGACTGATGGCCACATTAGTGCAGCTGTTCTTTGCTGACCTCTGCTCCCCTCTTTGCTCCTTTACTTCCTTTCATGAATTCTGTACCCCAGGCACCCAGAGCTCTGAATGCATGGAAACTCTCTTAGGAGAATTTGCTTTTAAAATAGAGATTGGGATGAGCCGCGATAGCCAGGCAGGTCTGTTCATGCGGGGTCACGGACAGATGCCCTCATATCTCACTCAGATGCCAGACCCCTTGGGTCTTAGGGGGAGACAGGCCTGCCACTCATTGTAAGCAAGCCATGAAGAGGCCAGCCCCTCCTTGTAAATTTATAACCCCTAAATAAGGAGGCTACTTTGGAGCAAAGAAACCAAAAAAAGGATCAAGGGAATGAGAGAAAGTTAGCTTGGCCCAGTAACGTGAATGCCCTGAGCCTGTCAGAGGTGCTTCTGAGAGCTGAGCAGCTGGGCCGGGCGACCCAAGGCGTGCCCCCAGGCCTGTGGGTGAGGCCCTCTGGCTGGGCTCCTTGTTTCCTGTCGCGGCCTGTCTCCACATGCTGAGTGGCTGTGAAGCAACGTCTTGCAGTGACTCAGCTTTATAAATAGGACATTTACAGTGAAGATGATAGGAAATTCCCAGTCTTCTGCCTGGGCTTATTTTAGGTATTCAGCTTACACAAGTGAAGTCCCAGCCATCCTCTTCCAGCCTCCCTCCCTCCAGCATCATTGGGCATCCAATTTGAGGCCGATCTCTTCTGATCTGTGACTGGAAACTTCCCAAGGGGAGGTCTGAGAGGCACCAGGAAGGAAGATGTTCTTTCTGTCCCAGCCTTGTTCAGACTCTCCTGGTGAGGGCAGCTGACACCTGGCTCACAGCCCCCATGTGCTAAGATCTGTGCTGAGCTGGTAACCTGTGTTGTCTCATTTACTTTCACTTACTCCCAGGAAGAAAGTGCCTTATTATTCCCATTTGGTAAACGGAGAAAGAGGAATCCAAACCCGTGTCTGACTCATTCTGGATCTCAAGGATAACCACAGACTCAACTTCCCTTGAGCACAGAAGGCGAAAGGATCACAGTAAACAAAGGGGAGCCCTCGTTTTATGGAGGGAGGGAGGGAGGGAGGGAGGAGAAAGGTGCCAATACCCTGGACCTCTGGTTATATTTCTCTTTCTTCCTTTCCCCCAGTGACAAATTTCTTGGCAGGGGGCCTTTTCTGGAAAGCCAGGCTGGAGCTCTAAGTGCTTCCACAGGCCCTGCTGTTGCTGGGCTTGAAGGAGAAGCTGAGACGGCTGCCTACACCAGGGCAGGAGGCTCTGCAACTGGAAGGTTCAGGCCATTTCAGATTTAAGACCTAAATGCTGTTCAAATATTTGCCCAGCACCTCCCAGTGTGCTTTGGAACAAGCAGCAGGAGCAACCCTTGCTGAGTCATGAATGCTGAAGTGTTAGACAGAAATGTGGACGCAATGCCTTTTCATGGCTCCCTTGTGATTAGCCAGGGTCTCTCTCACCATGGGGCCTGGTTACAAGGAGAGGGCTCTTCTGCTCGGCTGCTGGACAAGGTGGCACCTTCCGTAGTCTTGAGATGAAGCTGGCCTACCCACACTGACATCAAGCGGCTGGGACTGCCAGTGCTTTTCTGAGCTACAGAGCTGTTTCCAACAGTCTGTGAGATTTCTCCTCCTAGGTGCCCTCAAAGCTTCTGAATTCATCACATTCAAAATAGAACACCCCAAACTTGTCTTCCTGTATTCTCTCTTTCAGTTACCGGCCTCACCTCCTAGTCACCTTATTTAGAAAATGCTGAATCAGCCTCGATTCCTCTGCTCCTCTCCTCCTCCTCCGCCCCCTTTGTGTAATTGATTTTCCCTCCTGGTTTCTTTGCCTTCAGGAAGCCCCCAAGCCTCCCCTCATCACCTGGAGTACAGAGCTGACACTGAGTCCTGGCCATATCGCTCCCTTCCCCTGCCCTTTTCTGACCCGGGGTGGGTGCATGACCCAAGCTGAGGTCATCAGAGCCCTTCCGCAGGATTCTCCAAGCTGAAGCAGAGAGTTGAACACTTGTTTCCTCTCTGATTCCTAGCTGGAAGGCTGGGAATCTAGAGAGGCCTGTGGCCATGTGCCCTGCTGCCTGCAAAGCCTTATTTGCAGCAGGGGAGAAGGGGAACACGCTGCAGAGAGTAGCCCTGACAGAGGAATGCAGAGACAATAGCTGAGCAGATGGACTTCCTAATTCAGCCCCGCCTGAGATCGGCTCTGTCCTCCTTCCAACCCATCCTCCTCAGAGTCACCAGGATTCTGTACCATTTTCTCCAACTTTTCGTTTTAAAAAAGATCCAACTACAGAGACATTCACAGAATAATCCAGTGAACACCCACATATCCTTCACTCAGATTCACCAACTGTTAAGAATTCAGCCACATCTGTATCTTCTCTCTGTGTAAACGTACACATTTTTGTCCTGCTCTATTTGAAAACAAGTTGCTGAAGTCAGGACACTTCTCCCCTAAATATTTCAATGTGTATTACCTAAGAACTTGAACATTCTTCTACATAATTATATTATAATATCATTCAAGAAATTTTACAATGATATATTATCTAATATAT